ATAGGGATTTACAAACATCGATGAGAGAGAAACATTGACCAGCTGCCTCCTGCACACCCCCTACTGGGGATGTGCCCACAGCCAAGGTACATGCCCTTGACCGGAATCGAACCTGGGACCCTTGAGTCCGCAGGCCGATGCTCTATCCACTGAGCCAAACCGGTCAGGGCGCATATTGTTGTTGAAGCATCTATCCAGAGTGGTTAAAAGTGCTTTCATGGCTCTTAAACCACAAATGTAACTCTTCCTATGTAGATAACATGGAAAATGGCATCAACTACTTCTGTTATATGATATTCTAAAATTTTGCTCAGCCAAACTCAGAGGAAGAATAGATTAAAAACTAAAATTTGTTTTTCTTGGCCACTAGTCCACTAAAATGCTAAACTGGATCAATCCCAGCAATGTTTCATAATCTGGTAACAGAGCTTGGCCCAGCAAGGGCAGTGATTGATATCGGACTAACCCATCCTGCAGATAACTATCATAAACTGTGGACAAAAATAGGAAAAAGCAACTGTCGAAGGCATTGAAGAATGAGGAAAAGCAGGCAGAAACTGCAGGGGATTCTCAAAAAAAGGAAACCATGTTGGTTCACATCTCTGCTGAAATAGCTTTTTCACTGAGACCATTCCCCAGTCTGCGCAGCACAGGGCAACTTAACGTATGAGATAATGGAGTCTAGGGCTGCCAGAATGGCTATACATTGGGAGGAATATTCTAGAATGGAGAAAATAAGAGGGGGACCCCCCCAAATCTGTGTATAAACTCTCCCCAATTCCTTAAGACCCCAGAACTGCCAGTGTATCGGTAAGTTCCAATAATTCTGGTAGAAAGCACCAGCTGGAAGTCTGAAAAAGTGGAGATTTCAGCAACACTCACCACAGGAGAGACATTTAGTTTCTATCCTGCCAAGTTAGAGGGTCTGGACTACAAATAATGCTAAAGCCTACCCTTCATAAATCCACAGGTGGAGTCTGAACACCCCAAGTGGACATCTGCACAATGGCCTCCGCTGCAGCGGAGAAGCAATGGCAGTAGCTGGTCCTCACGTAAAACCTCTCACCCTGGTGATATCCCTAGTGCTGGAAGCAGACTGATTTCATTCCAGCCCTCAAAGCCTTGTCTTCTGAGAATTTTCCTATCTTTCCAGAGAATTGTCCTAGCCCACAGGCTACAGATAAGCTGCATAAGAATGTTTGCTTTAGGGTCACTATCTTTCCAGACCTGGAACTATAATTAGTACAAGGTATATTTACCCAAGCTGAGTTATAAACCCAACCAAGCATTCTAGAGCCATGGAAATGGCTGAAAACTGATTAGGTGGGACCATTCTATAAGACAGCCTGAAAGTTGTGTTGTGTGTTTTTTGCATAAGGTATAATTAGCAAACAATAAATAAGTACCCATCTTAGGTGCTCTATTGCGTTTTGACAGATAATCTGTGAAACTGGCACCTAAAACAAGACATAGTACAGTTCCTTCATATTCCATGCCATCAATGTCCTTCCCAAGCCAAGCAGAACTTTCTGATTTCTATCGCATGGATTTGTTTTGTCTGCTCTTGGATTTCATACAAGTGGAACAGTACAGTATGAATTCTAGTGGAATTTCTGGGACAAAGAGCAGAGGTATGCTCGACTTTATAAGAAACTGCTAAACTGTTCTTCTAAGTGGTGGTATCATTTTACACTCCCACTAGTGTATATGAATGTTCCAATTATTTCACATCTTTGCCAACATTTGGTTTTAAGTCTTCTTTTATTTTAGCCATTTTCCTGTGTCTGAAAAGGTATCTCACTGTGTTTTTAATTTGCTCTTCTTTAATGACTAAAGATGTTAAGTACTTTTTGTGTTATTGCCAGTCATTTTCTTTTGTAAGGGGTCTGTTAAATAAGCAATCATATGTGCTCTTTTTAAAAACCCTATTTATTCTGCTCATTTTTAATGGGCTGTTCATGTTTTTATTATTGATTTGTAGAGGGTTTCTCATATATATCCAATACAAGTTCACTGTCAGATATATAAATACTGTGACTAACTTTTTCCCAGTTTGGCACTTTTTCTTAGTGATATATTTTGGTGAGCAGAATTAATTTTGATGAAGTCCAATTGGTCAGTTTTCTCTTTTGTTAGTACATTCTGTATCTTAAGAAATCTTTTCTCTAAGGCTGCAAAAATACTCAACTCTCCAGAAGCTTTAAGATTCTGAGTTTTGTGTTTCAAGGTGTAGAAGAACTTCAACTTTGTTCTTTTTTCAATATTGTTTTGGCTTTTATAGGTCCTTTGCATTTTCAGATAAATTTTAGAATTGGATTATCTATATCATAAAAAAGAGTCTGCTGAAATTTTTATTAGGATGGTATTGAAATCTACAAATGAATTTACGAAGAATGAGAGCTACCAATTAAGACAGACTCTCACTGCAGTGAAACTTAACATTGCCTTCAGCACTGTACAAGAACAGTTTTTAAATGTATTAATCAATATCATGTATTTTAATGAAAATAAAAAATTAGAACTACAAAGAGATACATCAGATTGACAAAAATCCAAAAGGATTTTTTTTCCACAGGGAAAAAAAGGGAAGAGTAGCTTGGCACTCTCAAATACTGCCGGCAGGAATAGAGTGGCACAACCCTAGAAGGGAAGTTGGGCAACACATTACAATTGCAAACTCATATATCTTTTTACCCACCAATTCCACTCTAGGGATTTACCTACAAGATATACTCATATACATGCAAAATCACATGTGCACAAGGTTATGTGCTATTTGAAACACCAAAAACCAAATGAATTATGGCATACCCATACAGTGGAATACAATATAGATTAAAAAAAGAACGAGGAAGCTCTCTATAAAATGAAATAGACTTTCTAGATATATTAGTAAATTAAAAAAACAACAAGGTAAAGAACAGTTTACTATCATAAAAAAAAAGGAAATGGGGAAAATGATTGTATTTGTTTGTATATGCTTCATGCATCACTGGAAGAATACACGAGAAACCAATAAATGTGGATTATCTCTACGGGGCAAGAACTAGGTTGATGGAGGCAGGGGTGGGAAGACTTTTTTTTTGTAAGAGAACATATTACAGAGGCAGAAAAAGTAATTCCTAGAAGAAATGGGCTTAGGAAGTTATGGAGGTAAACGAAGGGAATTTGGAACTTGGGAGTGAGAAAGCGAATGGTGAAGGGTAGGGGGCGTGAGGGAAAAGGAAAGGCACAGGCGTATTCCTGGACTCCTGGGAGGGAGAGTGCCAGAAGGAAGATTTTTCAATGCATACCTGTATATACGTTCTGATTTTTGAACTATTTGAACATATTATATATTCAAGAAATTAAATAAACTAAATTTTGCAAATGAATTTTCCCCTAAGAGTCTGAGGATGATGATTGTAGGAAGAACTATCATTAATGAACACTTAATGGGCTGAGTAGTTTAAATGCACTATCTCAATCAATCCTTATGTCAGTCTTATGGGCCAGATGCAACACTCCTATTTTTACAGATGATGAAAACAAACTCAGAGGGTTATGTAACTTAGAAACTGTAAAACTGGGATCAATTTGAAGTTTCTGTGCTTAACTGCTAAATCACACTGTACATCTATTAACAATTTTGATATTGACATGTTTTGATTGATATAAAAGAAGAAAAAAAGCAATTACCTGCTGCCCTTCTGTACCCTCGGCAGTTACCATAGCAACTGAGTGTGTCCCTGCTGAGGAGATGACTGCATCGTGAGCAGGGACTGTGATGGGCGTGCCATCCTGCGTGACCATTGTGATGGTATTGCCAATGGCTTGCATGTCAGCTTGAGATATGTTGACCTGCAATACAATGCATTTTACAAATCAGTCAATGTTTCTTGTTATATTTGACAATCTTTATGAAGGACGGCCTAACCCTGTATAAATCTACTCTGAGGAGAACAAATAAACATCTTCTATTTTGGAAGGTTATCAGAAAATTGAGTATTTCTTTCTTTTTTTAAAATATATTTTATTGATTTTTTACAGAGAGAAAGGGAGAGAGATAGTTAGAAACATGGATGAGAGAGAAACATCGATCAGCTGCCTCCTGCACATCTCCCACTAGGGATGTGCCCGCAATCAGGTACATGCCCTTGACCGGAATCGAACCTGGGACCCTTCAGTCCGCAGGCCGATGCTCTATCCACTGAGCCAAACCGGTTTTGGCAAATTGAGTATTTCTTAAATACATTTTCTCCTCTCCATCTCTACTGCCAATTTAGACCCTTACCTTTCTCTCATCTGACTTCCCACAAACACCACTTCTTTCCAGGTATGCAGTCTAACCCTCCCTAATCATCCTTTACCTTGATACCTTTCTACAAAAACAAATTTCAATATGCTCCCTGCTTAAATGTCCAGTGACTCCCTATCACTACAGTTCATTACACGGCATTTGTGACCTTTCATGATTGGCCTTTCAGAGCCTCTCCAGACTCTTCTTCCAATACTTCCAAACCAACCACTTGGCACTCCCACAACTAACCATTTGCAGTCCCAGACTATTATATCTTCATGACTTTGCTCTTTCCTTCAATCTCTCCCTTGCAAACTCATGAATATTTTTTTAAAATATATTTTATTGATTTTTTTTACAGAGAGGAAGGGAGAGGGATAGTTAGAAACATCGATGAGAGAGAAGCATCAATCAGCTGCCTCCTACACACCCCCTACTGGGGATGTGCCCTTTACCGGAATCGAACCCGGGACCCTTAAATCCACAGGCTGACGCTCCATCCACTGAGCCAAACCAGTTACGGCACTCATGAATATTTTTCATGATCCAACTGAATAGCCATTCTCTATAAGGGCCTCCAAGATTCCTTCAGGAAAAATCATTTACTTCTTCCTCCAGACTGCCACAGCACTCAACTATATACCCATCTTTATGAGACTCTAGAGCAGTGATGGCGAACCTATGACACGCGTGTCAGAGGTAACACGCAAACTCATTTTTTTGGTTGATTTTTCTTTGTTAAATGGCATTTAAATATATAAAATAAATATCAAAAATATGAATCTTTGTTTTACTATGGTTGCAAATATCAAAAAATTTCTATATGTGACACGGCACCAGAGTTAAGTTAGGGTTTTTCAAAATGCTGACATGCCAAGCTCAAAAGGTTCGCCATCACTACTCTAGAGGCCTGGTGCACGACATTTGTGCACTCGAGGGCGGCCTTTAGCCCAGCCTGTGCCCTCTCGCAGTCCAGGAGCCCTCGGGGGATGTCCAACTGGAGCAGGCCTAAGCCATTAGTTGGACAACCTTGGTACTGCCGCAGAGGCAGAAGATGCTCCCGCCACCACCACTGCACTCGCCAGCAGTGAGCCCGGCTTCTGGCTGAGCAGCACTCCCGCTGTGGGAGTGCACTGACCACCAGGGAGCAGCTCCTGCATTGAGTGTCTGCCCCCTGGTGGTCAGTGCCGTGTCAAAGAGACCAGTTGTTCCACTGTTTGGTCAATTTGCATATTAGCCTTTTATTATATAGGATTGTTTATTTTAGGAAGGTCTCTCTCCTATTAGACTACGATAATTCCTTCCTGTGCTCCCCACACTAAGTGTACCAAAATGTCTAGCACTGGATAGATGTTCAATAAATGTTTGTTGTTTAATGGACTAAAGGAATGGAACAGAAACCTAATTCCTGAGGAGAATGGGAAGGTTACCAGAAAATACAACATTGTAGTGGGGAAAATAGCTGTTTGGGAGCATGTGAAGACGGATTAAACTCATTCTGTACAGTCAAAGAGGAGCCACTAAGTAGATGACATGGTAGTAGGTTACTGTGTGATAAACACTATAATTATCCAAAAATGGAACAGGCTGCCTCTTAAGAGAGAAACTGCCTCATGTATTTTAGGGCTGCTTTGGAGAGAATTTCTCCTATAATAGGGAGGGAGGGAGGTTAGATCAAATGATCTCCAGAGGGCCTTGTCTGTGTGGAATTAGTGAAGTCAAAAGTTAAGGGGAGGGCCCAGCTGGTGTGGCTCAGTGGTTGAGTGCTGACTCATGCACCAAGAGTTTGACAGTTTGATTCACAGTCAGGGCACATGTCTGGGTTGTGGGCTCCATCCCCGGTGGGAAGCATGCAGGATTGATGTTTCTCTCTCCTTGACGTTTCTATCTCTCTCTCCCTTTCCTTTCCTCTCTCTCTCTCAAAATCAATTTAAAAAAGAAAAAAAGTAAGGGGGTATTAAATGGGATAGCACAAGAGTTTCATATTTTCCAATCCTGACTACGTTCTGCCTCCTAGCTAACACCAGCATCTTAACAGTTACCAACACAAATGGCAGATTAATCATGGGAGGTAAAGCTCTGAGAGACAGAGGTAAGGAGGGAGTTTGCCAAGGAAAAGGCAGATATAGAAGGTAAAGAATCCCAGATGCCTATTTCCACCAGGCGCTAAGCCCATCTTAGCTAGAGCTTAAAAATAAAATCTAGTCTGAATTGTTTTAGGCTAGTGGCATATAGAAAAACAGTAACAAGTTTGACTATTGGAGAACAACCATTACATTGCTTTTCCAGGGGAAATCAAGATACCTGTTTTACTAATTATGTGAAGCTCCCATGACTCCATGTAAGGAGAGTGCCACACTTTGGAAATTTTACAGGTTTGCCCATCACTGACTTCCTAGGGTCTTTTAATGATGCCATCATCACTCAGCCAAAGCTCTGTGATTTCTTTTTTTTTAATATATATTTTTATTGATTTCAGAGAGGAAGGGAGAGAGACAGAAAAACATCAATGATGTCAGAGAATCATTGACTGGCTGCCTCCTGCACGCCCCCAACTGGGGATTGAGCCCATAACCTGGGCATGTGCCCTTGACCAGAATTGAACCCAGGACTCTTCAGCCAGCAGGCCAACATTCTATCCACTGAGCCAAACTGGCTAGGGCTCTGCTGATGTCTTAATCTCACCTCCTGGACCTATATAGCCACCAAATCTTATACCTTCTCTGAATTGTGTTTCACATACATCCATTACTTTTCAAGCCCTCAATTTCACTGCGGTAATGACCTTCATCGCCTTGCCTTTGAACTATACCAGTAATACCATCCGAGTTCTAGAGTCACAAACCTCTCTACTAATCTCTCTGCAGGTAGACTCAGCATGCTACTGAAAAACCTTTAGGAAAGCTAGCAGTGCCTACAAGCTCAGGTTCAAACTTTATGCCCTGATATTCAAGGATTTCCTCAAGTGGGACCTAATCTGACTTTCAAGCCCAGGTTCAGAGAAATATTATTAAACTTGTTTGGCTTTTGGTGCATACTTACATGCTGAGTCCCATCCTGGGATATGAGTGTAACCTGTTGACTCAACCCAGACTGGGTTACCGTGGCTACTTGTGTAGACACAACATCATCCCCTTCTACCCCTGTGACATATGTGATCTGGGGCCCTTTAAGAACATCTTCACCTTGACCTGTTTAAAACAAATGAATCATTTATTTGACCAATCAACCAAGATGCTTAGAAAACAGAGGATATTTTAAATATTAAATAAATATTATACAAATTAAAGTAGATGTATTATAGTCTACATAATGAAAATGGTTTCCAGCCCCTCCTTCCAATTCTTCTAACTCCATTTTTGCAAAGTAAAAGCAAATCAAAGCAGACTGAACCAAACCTTTCCACATCAAAGTTAAGTGTTCTAATTTTGGGAAACTTCTCTTATTCTCTTAGTTGGAGTAATTACTGATACTACACATGTATGTTGGGGCAGTGAGTGGGGGAACTAACAGGAAGACTTGACTGGCAAATAATCTTTCCACTATGGCAATTTCTTACAGTCACTTAAGAAGCTGTTAAAAATGATAAGACAATCTTCATAAACATTAACCACAAATCTGAATGGTGTGTAAATGCAAACTACGAATAGGAAATTGATTGCAAGTCATCAGTACACAATGACATCATTGTGTAAAGACGATGTAATGGCATGTTATCTGGTGCAAGGTTAATCTACACTAATAATCTACACTAATAAAAGAGAAAAATGGTAATTGGCGTACAACGCTACCCTTTTCATTGGCTAATCAGGGCTATATGCAAATTAACTGCCAACTAAGATTGGCAGTTAACTGCCAACAAGATGGCTGTTAATTTGCATATGTAGCCACAATGCAGGGAGGCGAAAGGGAAAGCAGGAAGAACCCCCCTGCCACTGACAGTGATCGGAAACCCAGGGGGAAGCTAAGAGCTGGGGCCGCC